TTGGTAAATTGATGAATCGGTGATTGGTATAAATGGTGTATTTGGTAAATTGATGAATCCCGTTCGTGTAGGGCTGCCAGGATGCCATAGTCCCTGTCAGTGAGCACAAAGGCGCGCTCTCCCCCAATCAAGGAGGAGGTGGGGCTATGGCACTTTTCTCCGGGCATCAAGTCATCAACCATAGCCCGAAGACCTAACAGGGTAGGCGAGGCGATGAGAGTAAAGCATGTTTCAGCGTAGCGCCTCTCCATACTCAGCCGCCCACTGGAGGCAGCCGCCGGCCGAAGCTGACCGCATAGCGCAGAATTAGTGCTACCGTGTCGCCAGTCCGCTGCGACCCCACCTTATTCATTTGTTTCGGTTTGTAGACTTTTCAGTTGTTGGGATTTGGCGATCCTGACATGGGTTTGGCCGGTGATGCCTCTCTCATAATTGGGAGCTGACTGTACATATCTGAGGGACGTCGGGCCCGTTTCCCGGCTTGTATACTTAACACAGCTCTTTAAAAACAACAACAACAACAACAACAACAACGTTTTTCAGTCATTATAGCTATATTTCGGGCAGCTTTCAGTCGAGATACTGCGATAATGACTAGGCGTTCTATATGGGTGAAGACGGTAGTTCTTTTGCGATGGATGAAGACAAACAACATGGAAGCGGGGAAAAAAAATAAAAAATGCAGACCTGCGTTCCAACTCCACCGGAAGCAGACGAGTAAAATTACGACAATTCGTAAATAAAAAAAGATTCATAAAAACCTAACAAACAAAATTGTTAGGTTTGCACAATTTTTTTAAGATTCTGATAGTACATTTTTCAGGCCTCCTGCAGGAAAAAATTAAATATGAAGTTAATTAACCGCAAAAAACGAATAGAAAAATATTTTTTCAGAACCACTGGAAATGGTGACGAGAGAAACAAGTTTTTTTACAAAAAGTCACTACCTTGCAAAGCACCGTTAGTTCAGGAACCGAAATATCCCAATTTTTTATTTATCTAAAAAAATTATATTTATAATTCTATAAGGTATCTAGCATGACGAACATATTCGGGGGGTTTCTTAAACACGCACACATGTTCTCCTGTTCGAGAATACGTTCGCTTGGATATGTTCCCTCATACATGGACGAACATATTGTTTTTTAGTGTTTTTTATTAAAATATTTTTCTATTTTTTAATTTTAAATCGTAGTTGGTTAAGAATTTGAAGATGTCTCCCAAGCAAAGTTGTTTTTTCGGCATATTGAAAAAACATTGTTTGAAGTCTTCTTTTACATAACATATATTTTTTGACAAAGTTTTTACAGTTAACCTAAAAATGGATTATATTAATTTATAGTTCTCTAAACTAGTTTTCAAAGAGTTTGGGTTTTACCAAACTGCTGAAAACGACTTATAATTTTATAAATGAGTATTCACTTAAACTTTTTTTTTTTTTAACATCTTTCGAGTTCGCCTTGCAGTTCTTAAAGACTGTATTGTTTGAGCAATGTTTTTCGCCAATCTACTGAAAACAACTTATAGTCTTATAACATGCTCTTTGCTCAAAAATATTTTCTTACACATTTTGAGAACCGTTTGACTTTTTGCCCGTTTTTTTGACTCCTTTCTCGGAAAACAATTAAAAACGCTCTCTTTTATGTGTCAAAAATAACAATTTGACTTTTATTTTTTCATTCTATAAAAAATGTTAGGTTTTGTGGTTTTGCTAGGTTTTAACGAATTCAGTGTTAAATAAAAAAAATGTTTAAAATGGTGATTCGAAATTGTCGTAATTTTACTCGTAGGTCAGTTCCATGAATGATGATCGCCCTTTTGAATTTTATATAAATAAATAAGTAATTTCAAATAAATAAATAAATAAATGAAACCCGCCACCTGATCCCAAAAATTTTAGGGCCGTCCCACCATTGATAAATTTCATCAATGGCGCACATTGCGTTTTGGCCCTCTGAAAATCCCGGTGAGGGGCCCATGTCACGTACGTGCAGGCCTGGGATCCTCTTTATGCCACGAATGTGGCCAGGTTTCTCTGGAAACGACCGACACTATCCATGTGAAAACAAGAAAAATGAGGCTTCTATCAGGTAGGTAAGAAACCGCCAATGCACTGTCCATGTGAAAACAAGTGAAATGGTAGTGGAGCCCGGGTTCCTGGAAATACTAACCTAAAGAAAAAAAGCCACATCTGGAGGGAATGTATGTCATGCATAAAACCGTCCACATACCTGTCTAAAGTTGAGTAGGATCCAGTATACCTAGTGACCTATAGGACGAGCAAGTCACCTCAGCCCCCCTCACATCATTCTTTTTTTTTCTTTTTTTTTTTTCTCAGTGACCTACTGGACGAGTAGGGCACCCCTACCACGACCTTTTTTTTTTTTCCCCCCAAAAATACATGCCCTACTGCGTCAGAAAGGAGTGATGATAAGAGCATGCTCTCCTTCCTGGCTCTCGCCACGACTACTAGCGGGGGAATTTGAATTTAAACTCCGGACCTTGAACAGTTGAGCAGACGGTGGGTCATTGTCTTTCTGACTGAGCACACAAACCTGTGATCTGGCTTCGTTGTTTTTCCTATAGATTCTAAGTAGCCGGTCTGGGTTCAGAACTCTGCAGCCTCGCACATGTACAATACTACAACGCACTACTGTTCGCACAGAACCCTTGGCCTACCCTTGGCCTGCTCCATGGTAAGGATTACAGACACTACCTGTACCACCCAAGGGGCCAAGGGGTTTAGTGACCCATGATTGTTGTATGTTTTTTTTTTTCTTTTTTTTTTTTTAATTTATATAAAAGAAGTCCAGGATGTTGTAGAGGCTAATTCGCAAGCACACAGGGATCACCGGGAGCGATGAGCCTGGAGTCTGGACTACGCCAACACCCAAGGGGCCAAGGGGTTTAGTCCATGGTTGTTGTATGCTGGAGTCTGGACGACGACCCCTTTGCGTGATGTTCTTGGGACTCCATGGGTTGTTCAGATGATTGTGCGGTTGTCTCCCACAGCGCATAAAACAGACTACGGTCTTCCCCCGAATACAACGCACTCTTGTTTTGTCTGTATCTGGTCGGAAATATTGCTTGTATACATTCATTTTTAGGGTGCATTATGTTCGGGGGAAGACGGTAGTTGCCGCGTTAGCTCAGTAGGTTTGAGCAGGGGATTGTATGGGAGAGAGGTTGAGGGTTTCGGAATTCGCAGCCAGGAGGCTGCGCTTGTGTGGGTTCCATTTTCTTCGTTTCATTTCTTTCTAGTTTCGGTAAGGTTGTGCAGTACAACTTCACTAGGACGGGTTCGTTTGGGGTCTCCGGCAGCAGAAAAAATAGGGTCCGGTCACGGTCGTCCCTAAGCCCGGGGGCGGCCCAACGGGGGTTGCATGAGGGCCTGGTTGGGGCGGCTTGTGCGGCCAGGTCGGGTCGAAGCTGGATGGGGCTGCAGGTGGCAGACCCCAGGCAGATCAGGGCCTCAGGCAGGCGTCGATTTCATTCGTGAGGGTGATGACAGTTCGTGACATATTTTGAAACAACACATTCATGGCAATCACAGGTCAGACCTTGGTTGGCATACCAAAGTCACAACACATTCACAATCAATCACAGTGCGGCCAACCATAAGTTTCAAACAATGTTAACAGGCAAGTGTGTCATAGACTCATAGTGTGTGTTCACTCATCAGACTGGTGGAAGTTTGTGTAAGAACATATTCATTACAACATCATCCCTATTTGGCATCCGAAATTAACAGCACATTCATTATGGAGGCATCCATGACATGCAGGTGCGTGGCATCGGAGAAGCACATAATTTGCAACAATCACGACAACAAATCAGAAACCACTCACCACACAACAGCGACTCAGATCCAAGACCAAGGTTGGGAGAGGAACACGAACAGGAGCAAATATATGACAAAACATTTCAATGGAAATACGTATGCACAAGGCTGAAGCCAAAAACTGGACCCATCGACGGACCGTCGTCTCTATGGTACAACTGAGTAGCAAAAAAAAAACTGGACCCTACTGACAAAGCATTTCAGTGGAAATGCGTATGTACAAGGCTGAAGCCAAAAACTGGACCCGTCGTTTCTGCTGTACAACCGAGTAGCAAAAAAAAAAAAAAAAAAAAACTAATGTCCACATACTGTCATCGTCTCCATGGAACAACATCGACATAAATATGCAACAACCCTGTCGACAGAGCGTCCAGGCTGTACAGCCACGCAAAAAACAAAAAAAACTAATGAAAAAAAAAAAAAAACCACGGACGTCATCATCTCCCTCCAGAACGCGCGCGGCCTCTCCTGGAGGACGGGCGGCCATGCGGTCCTCCCCGGCGCCCTCCTCTTTCTCCCACACCTGTGCCCCGTGCCCTGCAAAGGTATGCCGCCTGTGTTGCAGCGGCTGCCGCGGCCACCTGTGCCCTGTGTCTGCGGGCCGCAGTTTCGATCGGCTCGGACTCTGTGTCTGCGTCCTCGTCCTCCGCCGCCCGTGCAGCAATCCCCATCTCTCTCTCCCTCTGAATCGCGTCCAATGCTGCCTGGCCAGCGGCGACCCCTGCCGCGAGTCAAGCCTCAACCTCCGAGAGGCCATGCTGTCGTCTCGTCCCGGGACGCATCAGCAACCCCTCCTCGCCCGATGTGAACTGCTCTCCCCGCAGCATGTCTGTGGATGTCCCTGCGGCCTCGAGGACCAATGATCTCCTCGTCTCCGCTCGTGACAAACCGAGCATGCGGCCTGCCATATGCAGGCTCAGACGTCCGGACCCACCCTCCGCGGCCTGCGTCTGAACTGGCGTACATCCGGTGAAGACGCCCCTCCCGGCGTCGTAATCCGCCCGCAACCGGTCCCCGACCCGACGAACAGATGATCATCCGCCACCCACACCACCTCGGACTGTCGGCAAGGAACCGCCACTGTGCGCAACTCCGGGTGTCGCCGTTTGGTCCCCGGCGTCGACCCAGGCCTCCAGAGTCTGTGCAGGTGGTGGAGGCATCGATTCTGCAATGTCTCTGCCGCCGTCGCTGCATCTGCCGGACCCCATCTCACTCGCTCCGGACTCCCTCCCTCTCACGCCGCTAAGCGATGAACCCGACCATCGAGGGCTCTGCACCACGAACGGCGGCGGTGAATATTCCCCTCCAGGGGGCCACCTCTTGCCGCTCCTGCGGCCCGTGTGTGCAAAACGGTCATCCGTCAACGCTTGCGCCAAAGCGTCGACGTCGAAGAAAGTGTGCGCTAAGTCGTCGGGGCGCAAGGGAGGTACTGTGGGATCCCTCAACACCAAGGGCGAGCCTATACGCATCGTCCTCGGGACTGTAGTCGTCGTCATCATCTTCGTCCGGTCCATCGTCTCTCCCGACCCCCGCAATATCCCCATCTCCACCGGGTCCACCCTCTCCTCTGCCACACATGGCGGCACCCTGTCCCTCATCACCCGCGGGCTCGCTGTCGCCACGCCCTCCACTAGGGGACCCACCGCCCACGACAACATCCTGCCTCTCATCACCCGCGGTCTCCCCGTCGCCGCGTCGTCCACCACCTGACCCACCACCCGCGGCAACATCCTCTCCCTCATCATTAAACTCCCCCTGAACTGCCTCCTCAGGGACACCCGAGTCGTCGACGTGACAGCCTCCCCCCCCTCCTGTCTCCAACTCCCTCTGTCGACGCTGCTCGTCAAGATATGTGAACTGACCCTCCCATCGTGGCAAACTCCCAAGCCACTCCTCCTCCTCTCGGTCCAAACAGGCATCCTTCTCCTCCTCAGTCTCAACAGGGCCCTGCACAACGTCCGCTTTGGTGGGCACCTCTGACGGTGAGGCACGTCGACGTCCCTCGACACTGAAATCTCCCAAGCTCCCACCAAGCCCTACGACGTCAAAGTCGTGTGTGCGGAGCACCAACAGCGAGCGGGGGCGGATACCGGCGTCGGAAGGAGTCCTCTTCCCCCCACGATCCTCGTCGTCATGTGTCCGGCCTCTGCCTGCTGCCGACGCCAACCTCTCCAACGCCTAAGTGCCTCGGGCTGTACAGCGCTCCGATGATGGGAGGGAGAAAAACGACGATCATGAAGGGGCACCCGCTCATCCTCGGCCTCCTCCTCAGCCTCGCTGTCGCTCCTAACCTCCCAACGCCTTCCTGTCTGCTGAAGACCTCCCCGTGGCTGCTGCTCCCCCGAGTCGTCGACGCGAACCTCCGCATGCGAATGTTCTCCACGACCACCACCGGCTCTGTTGCTGCCACTCGCCTGTGCGGTCGACGGCGCACCACCAGTGATATTTGATGTGAATAAATCCATGTCGTCACGACCCCCACCGTAAGTAAAATAAACCCGCTCAGCCGTCGGGTCGCTACTCAGCGTGTCATCGTCATCTGTCCACTCCTCGTCGATATCGTTGTCTGCCGCCGCAGCGTCCATATCATCCCCACCCTCTGGCCACGGTCGCAGCTCCGTCGCCCTGATGCCGAACACGTCCCGAACCGAATGGGCTTTGGACGGTCGGCTATGCTGGAAAGCGACAATCTGCCGCTCCATCTCCACCTCTGGAACACTGCCAGCAGGTCGCGCTCCCCACACCTCGGGCTCCACATCTTCGTCCTCATCCTCGTCCTCTGCCGCCGTTCCCCCCCCCCCCGGTCCCCATAACCCATGGCAACACGTAGCCACCACCCTGTCGTGCGCACGAAGCCAGTTTGAGATTGATGGCAATCTCAACCAGCTGTGCAAGCTTGGCAAACCCAAGCTTGCAGCGCCTCGCCATGTTGATGCGCTCGTGCTGCGCCCAGTTCCTCTCCGCTGGAGAGGCAGACGTCCACAAGTGCATGACACGGATGGCGATGGTGCGCAACTCAGGGTGGGCACGTCCATGCTCAAACCACCACGCTGCACATCGCTCGGTCTCGCTGTCCCCCCTGCAATCGTCCGCCTCGGCATCGGAGAGGTCACCTCCCCAATCCCCTCGCCTCGAGTGGAACGCTTTCATCTGGTCCCTCACGGTCCTGTACAATCTGCCGACCGGATCGCCGCCGGTCTGCGCCAGAAAGAATCTTTCCCACTCCTCGACCACACGACGGTCGTCGGCGGTCGTCTCCAACGAATGGTAATACGTGAGGGACCGTCGACGAGGGTTGAGAAGGTGGGCCGCGTCATGTGCAGGCTCTAGCATGTGGAGGTTGCGGATGGCAACCTCACGCACGCACGGCTCGATCATGTCCTCCGGCACGTCCACCCTCCTCATCAACTGCAACACATGCTGACTCCACTCGTAAACGACGGACATCATCATTCCCCCCTTATCCATCCTGCGCAACAGCTGGTGGACGGGCGACATGACAAGGATGGCGTACTGGACACACCGCCAAAACTCCCTGTCCCGGATCTGCTGCTGCACCCACTGCGCCTGAGATACATGCCTGCGCTCCCACGGGATGCGTGCCCAAGCATCCTCATGCAACATGCTCTCCAACGCGTCTCGTCGGCCTTTGAGACACGTCAGCATCAAGAAACCCGATGCGAACCGTGTCTCAACGGGCTCGACGAGCTGAACGCGAGGGCTCACCTTCCTAAATAGGGCGTGACCAGCGCCGTGCGAGTTAATAAATCGCACAAGCGCTCGAGCACGGATGATGGTGTCCTTGACCCACCCCACTCGCGTCCCGATATCTGACAACATCAAGTTGCAGACATGGGTGGAGCAGGGGAGCCAAGTGATCCTCCTAATGTCGGGCTCGGGGTCAGTAGCGAATCTGCGCGCTGCTGCCGTATAGTTACTAGCGGAGTTAGTGCAGAAGTCGATCACGTCCTTTGCAGGAAAGGACAAGATGATTGCCCGCCACCTACGGTACACAATGTCCTCGGTGTCTCGGACCGACCCGTCGCGTGCGACGACGGCGTATAGCAGGGCGCCATTGGCGCCCCCGGCAAGGAAGTTCACGAGCGGCTTGCCGCTGCGCGACTTCCTCCCGTCGGAGAGGATGGTGGCACCGCTGTGCCGAAAAGCGGCGCGTACCTCGCTCACCATCGTCGCCACCTTCGCCCTCTACGAAGGGATACCAGCGTCCGCTGTGACCTTGAAGGAGGGAAACCGGAACTAGATACTGCGAGGCACTCTCTTCGCCGCCTGCCGCACCTTCTGAAACTCCGAACCACGGAAGGCGTTGAATGGCAACCCCTTCACGTAGATCCATTGCAGCCACGCGTCTGTGAACTCCGCCAACTTCTCCTTGGCATACATCTCGTCAATTGTGGTCTTTCGAGCCCTCTTCTCCCTGCCCGTGTCTCGCACCTCGACGCCAGCCTCCCCCACTGCCCTCTTCTCCCTCCTCGCGCGATCCAACTCAGGTCGCGGCGCCCTAGGAGCATGACCCGCTTGACCGATGCCTCTCGACGTCATCACCACCTCCTCCCCTGGCAGGTCAAGCTCTCCGACTCCCTCGTCTGCCACCCCCCCCTCCCTGGCCCCACCCTCGCGGCCCTCCTCCTCATCGAGGGCATCCTGAATCTCGTCCCTCTCTGCATCGTTCATCCGCTGTCGCTGGCCACCCGCGGGCGCTCTCGTGTCCCGTATGCCCTCATCTGCCATCCACATCTACACCCGCTGAGCAATGGACGACACGAATGTGTAGTCCGTGCCGTTCTAGAGTTCCGCGAGAACTCTCATCCCCCCAGCCTTGCAGAACTTCGTCTGCGTGAAATGGCGCGCGGCCTTCGACGACCCCCCCTGAAACAGGTGGCCACATAAGTTGCAACACAACTTTCGGTCCCCATGCATCTTGACTGGTCCCCGACGTACTGCCCCACGGTGACGAGGTTCCAAACAATGTTCCCCCGCCTCAACTTCGCCATCTCCTTCTCAAACAGTGGGTTGAATTGGGCACCCCCAGACCCCCCCGCAGCGCTGCTCCCTGCACCCCTCGTCATCGCCCCCGCCCCCGGATCCAACTAGTCGTGGCGTCGATCGTTCTGCGTCCCCGCTACCGTTGTTGCCGCGTCCCCCCAAGGTCGTGCACGCCCGTGGCCCCCGCGCTCCCCTGCCGGCCGGCCGCAAGCACAGCCGGAAACCGTACCGGCCGTGTCCGGCCCTGGCCGGCCGAGCTCGGTCGGGATCAGCCTCATCCGGCCGGGATCCGCCTCGTCCGGCCGCGGCCGGGCACTAAAATGGCCGCGCGCGGCGATGGGGAAGGTCGTCGGGCGGCCGCTGGACCACGCTGGGGCGCTGTCCCGCATGGTCGCGCGGCGCGCGCCGCTGCCAGGTGCGCACCGAGAAGGAGAAGAAGAAGAAGAAGAAGAAGATCTCTCTCTCTCTCTCTCTCTCTCTCTCAACGATCTCTCTCTCTCTCTCTCTCAACGATCTCTCTCTCTCTCTCTCTCAACGATCTCTCTCTCTCTCTCTCTCTCTCTCTCTC